TCCATCTTTGATGCATCTATGATGCATCTATGATGCATCAATGATCCATCTTTGATGCATCTATGATGCATCTATGATTTATCTATGATGCATCTTTGATTCATCTATGATGCATCTGTGATCCATCTTTGATGCATCTATGATTCATCTATGATGCATCAATGATCCATCTTTGATGCATCTATGATGCATCAATGATCCATCTTTGATGCATCATCTTTGATGCATATATGATGCATCAATGATCCATCTTTGATGCATCTATGATGCATCAATGATCCATCTTTGATGCATCTATGATGCATCTATGATTCATCTATGATGCATCAATGATCCATCTTTGATGCATCTATGATGCATCAATGATCCATCTTTGATGCATCTATGATGCATCAATGATCCATCTTTGATGCATCTATGATGCATCAATGATCCATCCTTTGATGCATCTATGATCCATCTTTGATGCATCTATGATGCATCTATGATTCATCTATGATGCATCAATGATCCATCTTTGATGCATCTATGATGCATCAATGATCCATCCTTTGATGCATCTATGATGCATCATAGATGCATCAATGATCCATCTTTGATGCATTTATGATGCATCAATGATCCATCTTTGATGCATCTACGTTCCATCTATGATGCATCTACGTTCCATCTATGATGCATCTATGATTCATCTATGATCCATCAATGATTCATCTATGATGCATCTATGATCCATCTATGACGCATCTATGATCCATCTATGATGCATCTATGTTCCATCTATGACGCATCTATGATCCATCTATGATCCATCTATGTTCCATCTATGATGCATCTATGATGTATCTATGATGAATCTATGATGCATCATAGATGGTGCATAGATGCATCATAGATAGTGCATAGATGCATCAAAAATGGAACATAGATGCATCATAGATGTATCATAGATTGTAGATTGATCATAGGTAGGATCATAGATGGATCATTGATGCATCATAGATGAATCATAGATGCATCATAGATGCATCAAAGATGGATCATTGATGCATCATAGATGCATCAAAGATGGATCATTGATGCATCATAGATGAATCATAGATGCATCATAGATGCATCAAAGATGGATCATTGATGCATCATAGATGAATCATAGATGCGGATTATTGATGCATCATAGATGCATCAAAGATGGATCATTGATGCATCATAGATGCATCAAAGATGGATCATTGATGCATCATAGATGAATCATAGATGCATCATAGATGCATCAAAGATGGATCATTGATGCATCATAGATGCATCAAAGATGGATCATTGATGCATCATAGATGAATCATAGATGGATCATTGATGCATCATAGATGAATCATAGATGCATCATAGATGCATCAGAGATGGATCATTGATGCATCATAGATGCATCAAAGATGGGTCATTGATGCATTATAGATGAATCATAGATTCATCAAAGATGGATCATTGATGCATCATAGATGCATCAAAGATGGATCATTGATGCATCATAGATGCATCAAAGATGGATCATTGATGCATCATAGATGAATCATAGATGCATCATAGATGCATCAAAGATGGATCATTGATGCATCATAGATGCATCAAAGATGGATCATTGATGCATCATAGATGAATCATAGGTTCATCATGGGTTTAATATGCACATCATTCATACAATACAGAGCCATTTAGTACAACAGGAACGTAGCTAATGCCTGTACAATATAAGTAACGGACTGATTGTATTAAGCTGCATCAGGGGATCAATATACAGTTCGTTCTTACAATACAGAGCCATTTAGTACAACAGGAACGTAGCTAATGCCTGTACAATATAAGTAACTGACTGATTGTATTAAGCTGCATCAGGGGATCAATATACACATCATTCATACAATACAGAGTCATTTAGTACAACAGGAACCTAGCTAATGTTTGTACAGTAAGTAACTAACTGATTGTAGCTGCATCAGGGGATCAAATAAATATATTATATTGAAATATATTTAATGTAGCTTTTGAACGGCACTACTATAGTAGTTAAAGAAATAGCACTTATATTGGGTAGGAGTTTTTAATACTTTTTATAGCTAAAAAAAGAATACAATTGGAATTCAAAGCTCGGTTGGAAATTCGCCAAAGGCTCCGCACTATGATTGTTGGATATTTTAGGTTTCATGATTTTTAAATCCAGTCCATATTTATATTCTTCCGTTTCAAACAAAACCTAGCCCAAGTAATTTTCCGCTATTCAGCCGCTCTTCGCGATAACGAAGGTATGCGGCCTTTGCCCTCAACACTGATATCTTTCCAAACGACGCAGTCCACTGTCGTCCGCCGCTGAACTATCACCATATTTACTATCGTATATCCGCATCATCTTTTCAACATCCCGCAATTTTTACCTTTTTTTTCTTTAAATTAATCAGTCTGTACAGTGCTAATAGAAGTGACAATAGTTTTGTTTTTATCCCAAGAAGAAATTATTTTTTGTTTATTTAACGGACAATTGTAATAGTGCAAGTAGGTCAACGTGTACATGGACAGTCCTCGTCGACGCCGCCATTGCCCAGTGCTTCAAGTCAGGTGGGGTACCCCAAACCAAACATCTCTTCAGCTTCACTAAGGTCTGTGACAGCAATTCAACATTGTTTAGCACTTTAAAAATTAGCCTAATTAAGACTGATTAATTTCATTCTATGTACATATTTTTCTTATTATACCAAACATTTTTTGGGCCTCATCGAACCGGATTATTTTACCAGTTTCTGGTTAGAACATAATTTTATTTATTCCTACCACGAATACTTGTAATATCACTTCATTTTTTACGTATTCTAGCTGAATGGTATTTCATTTCGATTTCGTTTCTCATTGCGTGGAATAATTTTGCTCATTCCGCCATTTTGTATTTGTGCTCCTTTTCCTGTACGATTGTGAGTCCAAATTGACATTCCTGTTCCTGTTTCAAATAGACTATTCCAATATTCCTTCCTGGAATTTCCTGTCCGCTAACCGCTACGTCACTGCCACAGCCATCTACGACGTCGAGTCTACGGCTACAAATATCAAGACTTCACTACCGCATCGCTTGTCAGCCTGTCAGTTCACTTTAGCTGTCAGCTTGTCAGATTTTTGTTTACATTACTACATTTGAGTGATAGTCAGAATAACCTCAAATCTACTCAAGATTGACTTTGATTTCGAACTTATTGACTGATTCAAATAATTATCATTGCAGTTAATAAGTAAACAAATAATATAACTGATATTATTTTCAATGGTTTTAATGTGCACTGGATTAATATGAGAAATACCTATGTGAATATTTTGCTGATGATAGATTACGACAAGTAAGTTATACTGCACATAAACTTGGAAATATTTCTTAAACTATTTAAGCCACAAAATAGTTTGGATTATTGGTATAAATAGTTAACCTATTTTGTTAAGAAAGCATCTCTTATTATTATGTATTTGATAGCACACCATTAAGTTGTACTACCTATGCAGTGTTGCTTTTGCCTGTGCTACCCATAGCCTAAGCATAGACTATAGGCCTAACTTGTGCATTTGAGAATTTGATTAAATTGAGGAAAGTCAAATTATATTTTATTGTCTTATCATTACTGCAGATTTGTTTTGTGCTGAATATTTCCTATGTTTAATTTTCTTTCAACATGAGGTTTTCTTCCTTCACCAAACAGAGTGAACTTATTCAAGCTAGGCTTGAGTCAATAAATAAACAAGTCAATGCATTGAAAGAAACTCAGGTTGTGACTACTTTAAGCGAGCAACAGATTGCTAAACTTAAACTCTTGTCTCAAAGTGCAATAACCAAGCACTCAGAATTTGAGAGAATAGTAAATAAACTTTTTCAAACTACTCCCACTCCTGAAGATATTCAAGATGATAAAATTACTTCACTGCAAGAAAAAATTTCTGATTATTTTGTTGAGATTCAGTCAAACTGTAGTTTGTTACTTCCACCAGTTAAACTTGAAGAGTCACGCCTAAATGACTCTACTTCCGAGGTAGGCCCTACTACTCCTACAGTTAATCTGACTGTGAAATTGCCGCAAATCAAACTGCCAACATTCTCTGGCAATCCTGAGCAATGGGTCTCATTTCATGGCCTGTTTGAAAGTACTGTACATAATAATAAAACAATTTCTAATGTTGAGAAATTCTCATATCTCATAAGCTGTCTTTCAGATGAACCTTTGAACTTAGTTAAGTCTATACCACTAAATAGTGCTAATTATGTAATTGCTTGGCAAACCCTGCTTAAGAGGTACCACAATACAAGGCTCTTGATTTCATTACATTCTACTAACATCTTGGACCTACCGCAGCTTACTAAGCCTAATGTTACACAACTTAGGAATTTTATTTCAATTTTTAATGGAAATCAGCAAGCTCTTAAAGCACTTGGCCATAACATAACTGATGACAACCTGATCTTAAGTACACATATTTTGAGAAAGCTTGATTCCGCTATGCGTTCAGATTTTGAACAAAAACGAGATGACTCAAAACAGGTTCCTTCTGTCACAGAAATAATAAACTTTCTGGAAAATGAGTGTTCTTACAGAGAGGCGGCTAACTTAGGCTCGACCTCACATGCTAATTCTTCCCTTCAGTTAAAAAACTATGGAAGTAGTAAGAACATGCCTTATCTAGGTAGGCAAACCGCTAGTCCCAAGCCAAGCAAAGTTGTAATGCTTTCTTCTAATGACAATGAACAAGCTCATACTTGTGCTTACTGCAATGGAGCATCGCATAACATTTTTCGCTGTGATGTTTTTGGTGCCTTATCACCACACGATAGGTTCAACTTCATTAAGAACAATAGCCTATGTGTTAATTGTTTAGGACGACATTTCTTAGGCTCATGTAAGTCATCCAGTTCGTGTCGAGTTTGTTTTAAGCGACACCATACGCTACTGCATTTTTACAAAACGGACCAGCCTATAATGAAAAAATCTGTTAAGCCCTCGAATAAGACTCAGGCCAATTCCACAACACAATTGAAGGCTCCTGTACCGCAAGGATTTGAATCAAATACACTCTCTGCTCATGTAGACACTGGTGCTGCCAGCCACAACTGTACTGTACTTCTTGCCACTGCATTGGTAAAAATTTCTACCTCGAATGGTCATAATATTATTGTCCGAGCTGTGCTTGATAGTGCATCACAAACGAGTATAATATCTGAACACTGTGCCAGTATGATTCACATTCAGCGTTCGTCTGTTGGCGTTCACGAGATAAAGGGCATTGCCTCAGCTCGAATAAAGCCTAAGGGACTTTCCTTTGTAAATATTTCTTCGCTTAACGGGAAAACACTTGCTACGGCACATCCTGTCCTCATACTTGATAGAATTACCAATGATATGCCTAGTGTCAAGATATCTTCTGAAATAAAGGCTCAAATCAAAGAATACGCACTTGCCGATCCCAACTTCGACACTCCTGGACATTTGCTCATCGGTGCGGATCTGTTTGCTCAAACTATTATTGGATCTGCCACCAGTCTTGGTGATCGTATGCCATACACTATAAACACTATTTTTGGATATGTTGTCCTTGGGAACGTGCCTACTTCACAAGACGGCCAAACCTTCAGTGGATTGACGACTTTACTTTCCATCAATGATCTTACACTTCATGAAACACTTCAGCGATTTTGGGCATTGGAAGAACCACCTGCTTGTTCTAAGCTATCCCCAGAGGAAATGGAATGTGAAGATCATTTTTTGAAAACTCACTCTCGTGACGAGACGGGAAGATATGTTTGTTGTTTACCGTTCAAAGAAAATCCAGTAAAACTAGGAAATTCTTCTACAGTTGCTTTACAAACTTCAAATCGCTTGAACGTAAGTTTCAATCGCAACCTGATTTCAAAGAAAAGTACATTGAATTTATGAATGACTACGAATCCTCTGGTCAAATGAAACCCTCAAACTTATTTGATCTAAATAACCAATATCATTGCTTCTTACCACACCACGGTGTCTTTAAGGATGGAAAGATACGTGTTGTATTTAATGCGTCCTCTCAAACTTCAACTGGTGTAACACTTAACAGTCTACAGCATCAAGGACCCAAGTTACATAATTAAATAACAGACATAATTCTACGTTTTCGTCAAAATAGGATCGCCTTTGCTTGTGATATCAAACAGATGTTCCGTATGATCTCTATTCATGAACAAGACCAACGTTTTCAACTCATCTATTGGAGAGAAGAAATGTCACAGCCGCTTCGAGTTTTTCAGTTGACAACCGTTACTTATGGTATGACTTCTTCGCCATTTTTGGCTAATCGAGTAATACAACAATTAATTCATGATGAAGGAAAGAATCATGAACTTGCTGCTCATGCACTTAAACGACAAATTTACGTAGACGATGCGCTACTAGGCAGCGATACTGTTGAAGAAGCTGCAAAATTACAGCAAGATGTAATAAACCTTTTACGAAAAGGAGGCTTTGAACTTCGCAAATGGGCGTCTAACAATAGCCAAATATTGGAAAATTTACCCCCTCAACACTGCTTATCAACTGACTCACCTTGTGTTAGTATTCTTGGACTGAAGTGGAATCCACACTCAGACACATTCTCATATGCAATTTCTGAAGCTCCATTGATTTTTACCAAAAGAGCAATTTTGTCTTCCATCGCTAAGATTTATGATGTAACAGGCATGCTTACCCCTGTTATTTTTTGGGCTAAGGCTCTCATGCAGCATATATGGTCACTAGGCCTAGATTGGGATAATACTCTTCCTAGTGATATTATCGACAGATGGTCAACTTTTGTCAACGAACTTCCTGAGATTGAAAATTTGGAGATTGGCAGGTACATATCTCTGAGTGATGCGGTTAATATTCAGTTGCATGGATTTTCAGATGCAAGTGAACTCGGTTTTGCTGGATGTGTTTATCTACGAACTGAGAACCCGCAAGGCAGTATATATGTCAACTTATTAATAGCCAAGTCACGTGTGGCACCCCTGAAACGTATCACGATTCCTCGCCTTGAACTGTGCGGAGCACATATTTTAGCCAAACTGTTACACTACTGTGTTGATCAACTCTCAGATCGCTACAAGATAGATTCTGTTACCGCTTGGAGTGACTCCACTGTGGCTCTTTCATGGATTCACACCCCTTCTCATCGTTTGAAGTTATATGTTGCAAATCGTGTTGCACAGGTTCAAGAATTGACCCCTTCCTGCATATGGAAACACATTTCTACTCTTGAAAACCCCGCTGATGTTGCCTCTAGAGGATTAACCCCATCTCTTCTTATTCATAACAAGCTCTGGTGGTCTGGACCCACATGGCTTAAGAGTTCATCTGATTCATGGCCTCAACCATCGAGTCATCTTCCCGAAGAGGAACTCCCAGAAATTAAAACCACAACACTAAATCTTCTTACGATAGCTGAAGATCAAGATCTGAAGTTTATCAATAAATTCTCTTCATGGACTAAACTACTTCATGTCATGGGCTACGTTTTACGTTTTATTTCCTGCTTGAAAACTAAGCAAAGGATTACTCATTCTCTCACACTTGAAGAGTTAGAAGTATCGAACAAACGGATTTGTTGGCTTGTTCAAAGAGAGAGTTTCTCTGAGGATATTAATTCCCTGTCAAAGAAGAATGTGTGTTCTTCTCGCATTCAACGCCTTTCACCGTTTATGGATGATGAAGGTTTGTTAAGAGTTGGAGGACGACTGAAACATTCTGAGTTGCCGTACAGCGCCAAGCATCAAATTATCTTACCAAAGGATCATTTTGTTGTAAATTTGATAATTGATTATCATCATCGCATCTTTCTTCACTGTGGACCAACACAACTCCAAGCTGTTCTTCGTGAGAAATATTGGATACTTTCTGCTCGTAGTATCATACGCTCCAGGATTTTTAAACGCCTGAGATGTTTCAGAATGAAACCTAAGCCAAACACACCATTGATGGGAGACTTACCTTCCCCAAGAGTGGTAGCAACCCGACCTTTTAATGTTACTGGAGTCGACTATGCCGGACCATTTACAGTGAAATTGTATGTCCTAAAAAGGCTTCAGCCTATTAAAGTTTATCTTTGTCTATTTGTCTGCTTTGCAACGAAAGCCGTACACTTAGAAGTTGTGTCGGATTTGTCCTCAGAAGCTTATATAGCAGCTCTTACACGTTTTATTTCCAGACGTGGTTCAGTGAAGGAAATTCATAGTGATTGTGGAACCAACTTTGTCGGAGCAGCTGCTGCACTTCACAAATGTTTTAACAACCTCCTTTGCAATCCAGTAACTCACCGTTTTGCTGAAGAAAACAACATTTCTTTCAAATTTCTGCCTCCACACGCGCCTCATCAAGGTGGCTTGTGGGAACGAGCTGTTAGGAGTTTTAAGCATCACCTTCATAGAGTAATCGGTGGCCAAATCCTGACTTATGAAGAATTCATAACTCTCGTGTCACGTGTCGAAGCAATATTAAATTCAAGACCGCTTACCCCTCTCTCTGGAGATCCGAATGACTTAGAGTCTCTAACCCCAGGACACTTTTTAACTGGTGGACCTCGGAAATCCATGGTTGAACCTCAATATGATGAAACTTCTTGTAACCGCTTGAGGAGATGGCAATTAGTTCAGGCATTCTCTCAACACATCTGGACTCGATGGTCCCAAGAGTATCTGCATACTCTACAGCATCACTCTAAGTGGACGAGTAAAACAGAGAACCTCAAGATTGGTGACCTTGTTGTTATTCATGAGCCTAACACTCCTCCCCTACAATGGAAACTTGCAAGAATCACCGCAGTATCTCCAGGAGCAGACGGAATTGTACGAGTGGTCCATCTACGCACCGCTACAGGGAACTTCAGTCGGCCAACCGTCAAAGTTTCCCTTCTTCCTACCAATTAATTCCTAAGCATTCCCTTTCACCCCCTTTCAATTTATTTTCATTTGTCTTTTCCCATTTTTCAGTTTTTTCATTGAACCAGGTTGGTTCAAGGGGGGCGATATGTTGGATATTTTAGGTTTCATGATTTTTAAATCGAGTCCATATTTATATTCTTCCGTTTCAAACAAAACCTAGCCCAAGTAATTTTCCGCTATTCAGCCGCTAACGAAGGTATGCGGCCTTTGCCCTCAACACTGATATCTTTCCAAACGACGCAGTCCACTGTCGTCCGCCGCTGAACTATCACCATATTTACTATCGTATATCCGCATCATCTTTTCAACATCCCGCAATTTTTACCTTTTTTTTCTTTAAATTAATCAGTCTGTACAGTGCTAATAGAAGTGACAATAGTTTTGTTTTTATCCCAAGAAGAAATTATTTTTTGTTTATTTAACGGACAATTGTAATAGTGCAAGTAGGTCAACGTGTACATGGACAGTCCTCGTCGACGCCGCCATTGCCCAGTGCTTCAAGTCAGGTGGGGTACCCCAAACCAAACATCTCTTCAGCTTCACTAAGGTCTGTGACAGCAATTCAACATTGTTTAGCACTTTAAAAATTAGCCTAATTAAGACTGATTAATTTCATTCTATGTACATATTTTTCTTATTATACCAAACAATGATTGTCATGCAAATCACCTGTTTAAGAGTTTTGCTGGTATTGCTAACATAAGAGACACGGCGTCGATTGCACAATAAATTCCGTTTGCAACGATTATATAATTGTTTTAAGATAACCCTCCGGAAATTGCCAGATTTTTAGAATTGATTAAACGCTATTTTACCAAAAATTACAAAATAGTTAATCAGCTCTTCGTTTTGAAGTGCACTTTTGATGACGGTAATTTATGTTAATTGTGTAAGTATCTTTTGCGGATATTTTTCATCACGAATAGTAAAAACCCAAATTTTTGGAGGAAGATCTTTGCAAAGATTACGTAAATAACATAATTTAGCCGGTTTGAAATAATGGATATTAATTAATTGTAAAGCTGACCAGTACAAAAATATTTATTATAAAGTGTTAAGCAATATTTCAAATAAGAGGAACTATAAAACTCGGGTGTAAAGTATTAACAATTCAATGTAACAAAACATAATCACGTAGTAGGCTAGTATGCAAAAATAACCTAAAATTGTTTTGTGGTTTTTGCTATTTTTAAGGTAAATTAACTTAAATATAAAAGCTAACATTGTTTGAAATTAACAGTAATACAATAGAACAACTATAACACATAATAATTGTTCAGAAATCAAGAATATCTTTTTACAAAATGCAGGGTTACATAACTGGAAAACGTCAGTACAACTACAACTAAAATATTGTTGTTGTTTGTTGTGTTGTAAATATTGTCGGAACAAATGTATCTATCTGAAAACAAACTGAAAATTGAAGCTAATAGAATATGTTGTACATTTTCCACTCACGTGCTCAAAACACCGCACGTGGAAAACGGTAGATTCTGGGGGAAAACTGACTTGAGACTTGGGGCGGGGACAATAGCAATCCCTCAATCAATTTGGTCCTCTCAACGGCAACTGTTGACTTAAGCTAAGGGACTGAGCATTTCATACATTACCTCCCCCAAAAAGCGCCCCTAACCGCTCCCCACAGGAGTATAGGGAGTCCCTCGGCACTAGATTTACAAGTCAAATCGTCAACTCGCAAAGAAACCGCAGGTGACGTTTAAATCGCTTCGTAACGTTTCGAGAGTTATTTCGAATCGTACCTTTCAGTATGTAAATGGCATTGTAGGAATTCAAGAAATTGTCGGAAGGGAGCGTATTTAAAAAGGAGACGACGAGGTGGTTTAAATCTTTGCAAAAGCATTGACAACAAAGTTTTACCGTCGGAATTAATTTGCCATAAAGCAGGATTCACATAAAAATCCAATCAAAATCAAAATCAAAATGTCCGCAATAAACCTTTGAACAACATTAACTCACCATCACCAACAATGAACTTCAAACAAAGAAAAATCCAATATTGCTATCTACCAAATATTTTATTATTAACATTTCCATTACTAAGATCAGAGGATTATTAAGTTGAGAAGTTACAAAAATGTGATGACAAAAAGCAAAAGTAACTAACAAGTATGAAATATAATTATAGCTGTAAAAATGTTTTTTGTATACTGTTTTTGCTTGATAGAACGGGAATATTTTTGTATATAAGCGCGTGGAAAATAAAAAAAACATAGTTTAAACTATGACAAATGTGACGTTTTTTAACAATATTTTTCATTGAAAGAAAACCATAAAAAAATTACAACTTGATAAGAAAATGTCCAAAACAAAGTGTCTTATCAATATTTAATAGTAACAGTTTTATGTTACTACAGTTTTATAAAACTTTGAGTGAATATGACATAAACATGACCCAAAGAGTAAATCACGAAATTTATTTCTTATTTTTATATCTTATTGTAACCTATGTATGTGAATTGGCAGTATAATTTTAAAACAACAGCAAAGTTACCAACGGTTTTTGGAAGGTTTGGGTTTGGGGGTTGTAAGGGTTTTTGCCTCCACATATCACCTGACCACAGGTGTTCGGGTAACCAAGCTGTTAGGCTAATTGCTTGAATGATGTAAAAACACCCTTCCTGCAGCTGATTAAATAGCCTCTCATCGTGTAGACGTCTGAGAAAGTAATTTGTGGTTGGGTTGACAACCTAAAAGCATTCATTAATTAATTTTGGTTACAGGAATTGATGGAAGTTGTTGATACGTTTTTTAAATGAATATTGATTAGGTTTTCAGGTTGAGAGATCTTCATTTATTAGTCTTTACAGGATCTTTGAAACATGTGGTCATTGATGAAAAAAATGTATTACATTTTCTACAATATATTTAAGAAGGTACAGAAGCTAAACAATCATTTCTTAAAATTGAAAATATTCAATGTTCAACCCAAAACAATCAGAAACAATAATAGCAAAATGGCTGAAAGACCATCAAAGAGTAGTAGATATGGTCGAAGGTTCTCTTCAATACACATATGAATAAAAAAATGTTACTAGGTTAATATTTCTAAGAACAGTAGAACAATTTACATCTAAGTTTGGATCAAATAATTTAAATGAATGTAAACTACGTCATGATGGTCCCTTGGTTAAAATGTAAGAAAAACTTACTTTTAGTAAGTTATCTAATAAACTATTTTTTTGTTCTGTAGAGAGTGTCTTGCAAGTTTAACTACGAACCAAAAAGATAAAAAATGATGATCGAATGTTTATAAGTTACCACCAACTCATGTCCCAAGTGAGCTAGCAGCTCTATTGGCATCGTTAGACGAGTAGACGATCTTTAGCAGCACAATACCAGCTTCAATTCGCTGCTTTTGATTGACAATTGTAACTTCCGCAGGGAGTTCAACAATGCCTATCGCCGGCGGCAACTTGAGTAGGTACTCCACACAATAAGACCAATACCAATACACCCGCGGGATACCACGCCCTTATTTTCTACGTTTACAAACCAATGCAGGCCTTTAGGAGAGTACAAGAGTAGGAAAAGCAGCTCTTGCGGCCACCAATCAGAGAGCAGCATTTCATCCCCACCCTTCCCCCTAGGCCATGCCCCCTTTTGTCCCACGTGGTCGCCCTCTGGTGTCCCACGTGGTCTAACCTCACTTTTGTTTTCGCGCCAAACATCTAACCTCACTTTACGTATTGCATACGTAGGTTCCCGCCAAACGAAAAAAACTTCACCTTCCCGCCAAGAAACATAACCTCACTTTCGTGCTAAACGAAAAAACTTCTCCTTCCCGCCAAGTAACATAACCTCACATTTATTTTCGCGCCAGACGAAAAAATCACCTTCCTGCCAAGTAATATAACCTCACTTTCGCGCCAAACGAAAAAATCACCTTCCCGCCAAGTGACTTTCGCGCTAAACGAAAAAAACCTTACTTCTTCTCCGCCGATTCCCGCCAAACAACGTATTGCGTAGGTTCCCGCCAAGTTACATAACCTCACTTTTATTTTCCCGCCAAACAAAAAAAACCTCACCTTCTCGCCAAACGAAAAAAAAGTTCATGTCCCTAGCAAATAGTATATAGAAAACTTGTTGTGCACCCTTTAGGACAGGGTTTGGGACTGTCCGAGTGTCTGAAGGACACCCCCAGGTTCAGGTATTATATCGTATTGTACTTGTATCCAGAGGAACTGGCTTAGTATTATACCATATAATACCCCCCTCCCTTATTTTGAGGGTGCACTTGGAATTGAAAACGCAGTTATAATGTTACAAATATTTATTCTACAAGCAAGACACATTACTAATTTATAAAGAATTGAGTGAAGTGTTAAAAACTACTGAGCACTACTACTACTGAACAACATGCTAAAAACTAATGTTTATAAATAAGCACATTTGGGGAATTCCCCACCATCCCCGTACATTTAACACTATACAATTTAGAGTTTGTGAAACATTCTAGATCTTCGTCTGTGAGGAGGCTGGTGAACCTCGAGGGTAAAAATGTCACCCTCTCCTCGCCGGCAGATGTGGTGACGTGTAGTACGATCACCATGGTTCCGAATCTCGTGTTGATTCGTCTAGCAGATTGAATTTTCGCCGGCTCGGTCAGATCTTTGATGGGGACTTTCAAAGGGGAAGAGAGCACCTCGCAAGACGACAGCTTTGTAGAAAGATCCATCTAAAACCATATAATATTGTCGTAATAATATTGTATGGATAGTCGAGTGGTTATAGTGTTTGCTTTTAAATCTGGAGGTTGCTGGTTTGATTCCCGGTTGATCCCTAAAAACTATGGGAACTATGATAGTAAAGAGGACCTATGCTGTTATTTTTACACTACAAGCTCAATTAGTAAACTACAGCAGCGATATTTACCTTGAGAGAGTTGTGGAGTTGGTAGGATGTGGAGAGTGGCTACCCTCGGCAGATGCCTCTGGTTTTATACCGGGGTAGTGGGGAGCGCCCTA